TTGGTCCTGGGGGAGGTTCCAGAAGACAGGCCTTCGTGCGTGGAGTTTTGGGATGGGTCTGGTCATGCCTTTGGGCTGCAGTGCAGGGCTGAGCATTTTGCCAATGGGGAGTGGGGCCCTAGTCATCCATGGCCTGCAGCAGCTTCACAGTTAATCCAGCTACCATCTTTGGCTGACTGGGACGATGGGCCAACCAAAGCCAGTGCCTGGGGAGCTCAAGTCACTGCTGCACCCAACTGTCGTGGTGTCCATGGAGGGCTGTGAAGACTGTGGTGTGGGATGATTTCTGTGAGTGTACCTGAGTACGTACAGTGAAGACGTGCTGACCTCGGGTTCCTTAACTCTCAGCTCAAGTCACAGGAAGAGAACCAGAGGGCTTCCAAGACAGCCCTAAACATTCTCTTACTCCTTGTACCTGCAGGGCTGACGGTTCTGACACTCACACACAAAGTTGAATTGTGCGAGCGACAGAATCCCAATGTGTTGAACCCCCAGCCTCGCCACATTTCTCATGTGTAACGTAAGCAGTGGTTGGGGAGGATTGGGACCTGGAACCTGGAATGGGGACATCTTGTTGGCTTCGATTGAAGCTGAGATTCGGGAAGCCGCCACTCCCTCCGAGCCTCCCTTGCCAGTGGAAGTGGCTTGACCTCTTGTGTCTGGGGGACTGGTGTTCCTTTGCTGGAGAACTGTCACAACTTCGCCTGGGCAGGAGCCTCGTAAGGGGACACGCGTTACCCATGAGACCCTCTATAACTACAACTTGTTGCCATCAGACCCGTTAAGTCAGGTGCAATCTCACTGCGCTCCAGGTGCACACTAATGGAGGGAGGGCATCTCATGCCTGCACCTATATAGCACCAAGTCCACACTTGCTTTCATGCCCTGACTAGTTTGTAATTCTGCTTGCCTGTTTTCCTTGCCCAAGTAGGGAATCACGCATAGATCATTTCACGTTTCCTGAATGCAAAAGCCAGAGCTTTTCTAATCCCAAACTCAGCCTGGCAGGGCAAGGTAGCATAGTGGAGCGGTAGAAAGAACGTCTCACGATGTTCCCTAGTAAGTCAGGCCACCCCACGGTGTTCTCGCTCGGGTGTGCGTGCCATGCTGGGAGAACTCAGCCCGGAGACCTCATTTGCTTTGGAGCTCTGAGCGTGACGAATTCACTGCTCTCCATGGCTTCCCTTCCGCTTTCGGAGTCCAGCAGGGCACATTCCACCCCCATCCCACCTGCAGCTCCATCCCCTTCTCCACCGGCCTCGGGCGTCCCTTCGCTCTGGCCATACCTGTGCCCTCAGCTGTCGTTCAGCCCGCCGTTAGGAGCAGTGCCCTCGAGGTAGCGCCTGAGTGGCTCGGCTCCCCAGTGGCACAGGGACCTCACTGCCAGTCCAACTTAAGCCCCTTCCCGCGGGGCGCGCTCCTCGGCGCGCGGGCGACGCTGATTGGCTGTGGTTCAGAGAGTGACGGGACAAAACCCTATGACGTGACCCGGCCGCTGCCCGCGTGTGGTTAGGTCCCAGTCGCCGGCAGGCGGGCGGCGCAATAGGCGCGGGCCGGAGAGAGGCAGCATCAATGGTGGGTAGCGAGGCGGCTGGGGCGGGACAGGCTAGCCGCTAGGGCTGCAGAGGAGGAGGAGGGCTGGCAAGGGAGAGGAAAGTCGGGTCCGAGTCGCTGCCAACCCCAATATAATCCCAGTGATGCTGGGAAGGAGCGTGCAGAGGGGCCAATGGGGAGGGACAGCAGGTATCCGCAGCCCAGGGCGTGGCTGCGAAGTAGGAACCTGTGAGGTGGGCAGGGTAGGCCTAAATGCGGACATTTCAACAGCATTTCTAAAATTCTCACCACAACCCTGTTAGATATTATCACCATCACTCCCTTTTGCAGATGAAAAAACTGAGGCATAAAGGATTCCGTGGTTACCTAAGACCCCACTGCCAACAAGTAGCACGTTTGGGGATTAAAGCCAGGCATGGGACACCACCAGGTCACCTGAGTCCCTGCCAGGTGGCTTTTCCATGGGAGAGATCAGAGCAGTATGCAGATGTTAGTAAGTCTCAGGGGCGAGGAGGCTGGCCCCAGAGGCCAGGGTCCATGGCATCCTTCAGGGAGCATCCATGAGTATTCTTACAAGTTTGCAGTGTCCCTGCCCACATCACTGTAGTGTAACACCTTGGCTACTTAGAAGCTACAGCCAGGCCAAGTTGGCAAGAGGGCTCCCTCTTCTCCGGTGATCATGGCTCCTGTGCCCCATTACTTTTAACTGTCCTACTATTTCTGCCCAGAACCTTCCAGGGGCCCGAGTTGAGGCTTTTGGGCTCTTTCCTGCATTTTCAGATTGCACTTTAATCATGGATATTTGTTGCTACATTTAGGCTGCCACAATGCATTTGTGTGCACTGTTTCTGTTGTAGATATCACCAAATTTGGCATTTTACATCTGAATACAAGCAAGCACAGCCACCCAATGTTCTGGTTAGTCTGTTAATAATGGCTTATTTTACAATACATGATGCTTTACTGATTACAGATCACCTTCAATCATTGTCTCATTTACTCCTCACAAAACTTTATTTAAACACCCCACAGGCACTCAAAAGGGTAAACAGAATTGCTGTATGACCCAAGAGAAGTGAAAATCTACATCTACCCACAAACTTGTATATATGAATATTCAGAACAGCACATTCACAAGAGACAAAGTGTAAACAACCCAAATGTCCATCAACTGATGAACAGCTAAAATGTGCTAGATCCATACGATGCAATGTCATGTGGCCAGAAAAAGGAACGAGGTTCTGACACATGCTACGTAGGTGAACCTCAAATGCACTCTGCTAAGTGGTATGAGTCCCTTTACATGAACTATGCTGAGGAGGTAAATCCATAGGGACTGAAAATAGATCAGTGCATGCCAGGGGCTTGAGGGGGGGAGGGAGAATGAGCAGTGACTAATAGGCATGGAGTTTCTTTTTGGGGTGATAAAAATGTTCTAAAATTGAATGTGGTGACAGTTGTACTATTAAAGACCACTGAATTGTACACTTTAAATGAGTGAATTGTATAGAGTGTGGGAAACTGATTACCTCAAAATAAATTTTTTGCTTATTTGTATTTTCCCAATTTTCTACACTCAGTATCAACTATTTTTACAAAATAATTTTTGAAATCTTATGAAATAAGCAGAGCAATTATGCTCATTTTACAGGCCAGGACACCAGTAACTTAAATAGGACTGGAGTAGAATAGGTAGGCCCTGATGACTCCCAAGTCCCAGGCTAGTTCTTTCATCTCTATACCACACATTCTAGAATAATTCCTGAGACAAACTGGTCATGGCTCCAAAGAACCCTGATGACCACTTAATTAAGGCAATAAAAAGGAATGTGACATACCAGATACATCTAGTGTAATTTTCTTTTTTGAGACAGAGTCTCACTCTGTCGCCTGGGCCAGAGTGCCATGGCGTCAGCCTAGCTCACCGCAACCTCAAACTCCTGGGCTCAAGCGATCCTCCTGCCTCAGCCCCCACCCCAGTAGCTGGGACTACAGGTGCATGGGCCACCATGCCTGGCTAATTTTTTCTATTTTTGGTAGAAATGGGGTCTTGCTCTTGCTTAGGCTGATCTTGAACTCCCGATCTCAAGCATTCCTCCTGCCTCGGCCTCCCAGAGGGCTAGGATTACAGGCATGAGCCACTGTGCCGGGCCTCCAGTGCAATTCTAAATTTAGTTTTGAAGCTCAGGTCCACCTTTAGCTGGCTGGTACTTTTCTTGCATTCCAGCCACAGGATTTATGTGATGAGATGACAAGGAAGGAGTTGGCTCGGGGTTAGCTTTTCAGGCCATACGCTGTTGTCTAGTGAGTGGTCCCTCTGCAGCCCATTATCCTTTTCCAGGTTTACTGCTGGGGCCGTGGCTCTCTCCTGGTTTAGATAGGAGCTCCTTCCCTGTTTCAGACTTTACCACAGAGAAACTGAATTGCACAGAAGGCACAGACTGAATAAAGCAGCTGGTTTTGAGATGCTTTATTAACATTGAACAGTACAGTGTGGAGACTACAACTAATTGTGCTCTCATCTCTTCACAGAACGGTCACTACAGGCAGCACAGGATATCCTAACAGCTTTCACTGCTGCCTCACAGCCTCCGAACCGTGGAGGGGAGATGAGGGCATACATCGAAGGAAATTCCAGGGCAACTGCAGTCACACATTACCCAGGAAGCTGCAGGTAGGAAGGCAGCGCATGGAATCTCAAACTGGGAACAGCAGTATGTATCACGGCGCTATAGCGCTGTAAAACCTGGGCTAGCGAAGCCTATGATTCAAGTTACGTTTTCTCTGCTTGCAAGGGAAACACACATTTAAGAAACTGGTACTCTACACATTGATCCCCAACCCAGTTATCTGTAGTCTCGTCAGAAAATTTAGTATCGGGTGGTTGCTTTTTTTTTTTTTTGACAGAGTCTCACTCTTTTCCCTGGGCTAGAGTGCTGTGGCGTCAGCCTAGCTCACAGCAACCTCAAACTCCTGGGCTCAAGCGATCCTCCTGCCTCAGCCTCCTGAGTAGCTGGGACTACAGGCATGCACCACCATGCCCGGCTCATTTTTTCTATATATTTTTAGTTGTCCAATTAATTTCTTTCTATTTTTAGTAGAGATGGGGTCTTGCTCTTGCTCAGGCTGGTTTCGAACTCCTGAGCTCAAACAATCCGCCCGCCTCGGCCTCCCAGAGAGCTAGGATTACAGGGGTGAGCCACCGCGCCCCGCCCGGGTGATTGCTTTGTTACCTATTTTGTCACTTAAAATCTTATTACTCACTTTAATGATAAAAAAAGATAACATTTGAATATGCAGTTACAGTTTAAAAGAAAAGTAGTTAACTTGAATTTCTGAATTAGGAATGAAGAAAGGTGTTACCTGGCTTTGCTTTTAAAAAGAACAAAACAGTATGTGTTTTAAAATGATGGTTTTGGAACAAGCATAGATGTAAGATAAACATTTTAGTTCATTAAAATGCGTTTTACGGCCGCAATAATGTGTCTGGCACTGATCCCAAACATATCCAGCAGCTCATCCGGCTTCCCATTCCGAGGCACTCCCGACACGGCCAGCTGATGAACCAGGATGTCAGGCTCCATGGAGACAGCCGCACAGACAGCTTCCCCAATTCCGCCTGGGGAAGCAAGAGACACTGGGATCTTTTCTGGAAGTGGCTAGTTAGCCTTAAAGCCCCATCATATAGAGGCTTTTGAATTTGCTGGTTCCCAGGGGAAAATTTTTTCACTAGTCATTGATTCATGTGAACAGTCATTCTCAGACTGGCCTGAAGAGTTCTTATTCTAAAGTGCAAGTCTCCAAATTGCTCCCACCCCCACCTACAGCAGGCACTGCTCTCAATCTGGGCCCCATGGATGGAGAGTTGAGATTCTCAAAGCTGTCAGGGACCTGAAAAGGATTAACACACTGACTACCACATTAGAAAAAAAATTTTTTCCTTGAAGCCATGGTGTTTATTATGAAAAGAGAATAAAAATTTTGAAAACAAAACGATCCTTTCTACTTTAATGAAAAAATGTCATTTTTTAGTTTTCTGTGCGTGAATTATATGCAAATTGAAAAATAGTTCTTGAGGTTCCCAAGGTGAAGAGATGTGTGAGTTACATATACTTCACGAGGCCCTGTGCTCAAAACTAGCATGTTAAATACAACTCACATGGCAATTAATGTGTTAAAACCAACAAATGAACTGTGCAGAAGAGAGTCACCAGCAGGCCGGCTGCTGGCTCACAAGGTTGGCCCTTGGCTGATGCAAGTTCCCTCCACTGCTGTGACACTTTCCCTGATGAGGGTGGGCCCTGCACCTGGAATGTTTGTACAAACAATGTGGTTTATGCCAAGCACCTGCTTTCTTGCTGGGAGTTGGGAATTTTTGGTACGTGCCTGGCCAAAGTTGCCAACATGACCAGACCCTGACAAAAACCTGGGGTGCTGAGTGTCTAGTAGGCATCCCCGGGCAGAAACACAGTCCATGTGGGATGTGTTTTTGTTGTGCCCCTCATGCAGGAGGGGGAGGGAGGGGGAAGCCTAAGGCAGGGCTTCTCCAAACTCTACCCGTGGCTCCTGCCCTGACAGGTCCTGCCACATGCCCTTTCTCTGTGATCAACCTTAGCTGTGGAGTGACTCTGTGTCAGGTCCTTTGAGTCCTTCCAGAGAATCACACACTGTGAGTACGGTCCTGGGGCCCCTGACACAGGATGAAGTTCCTTACTGCATCACATTGTCTGCCCTACTTAACTTTCCCAGGCCCAAGGATCACCCAGCTCCCTCTCCCTGGCATACTCTTTTTCTGTGTTTGCTGTGTTCTCTGCTTATAAGGCACCATTCCCACTTTTTTGGTGGGGGCGAACTATTAATCATTCAAAACTCAAACTGTAAAGCTTTTCATGATTCCTTCCTACCCACAATGCTGACTTAGCCACTCCTCTGTGTTGCCACTGACCCCCTTGGTGACCAGGCACTGTGCACTCTGCCGGGGACACACAAATGTATATGAGCATGGCTTCACATTTAGGGAACCAGTTCAGGCGGGTGAAGAGAGACCCCTAGACTGCTACTCCTGCAGAAAGCAATAATGAAGGTATGCTGCCTGAGGGGTAGGGCCACCGCAGGTGATGCCCAAGAGAGCAGGGTACATCTCCAATCAAGGGAAACACCATTCCCAATGCCCACACACACCTTCTGGGTAATGATCCTCCACTGTGATGACTCGGCCGCCTGTGGCTTTTGCATTGGAAATGATGGTGGCAGCATCCAGGGGTTTGATGGTAAATAGGTCCATGACACGGATAGAAATATCTGGAGAACAGCAATAACTAGCTTGGTATATGATGCAAACTTAGAATAAAGAATATGTAGGGATAAAAATAAAAGGATCGATCGAGGCACACAAGGTAGCTGAAGTTCGACCTCTCCCCAGCTTGAATTTTAATGTTCAGACATAACCAACCCACCTTGTTTAGAAAGATCATCAGCAGCTGCTAAGGCTTCGTGCAGAGTAACTCCAGCTCCAATAACTGTGACTTTGTCATTGTCACTGTGGCGGACGACCTGGTATAGCACCAGCAAAACAAAATGCTGTGGTTACTACTGCTTCATACAGAGCGCATCTCAAAGAAGGGGACATGGCACTCTGCTATGCTGCTCTTCTGCAATCCTAACAATTTCACCCCTTAATAATTCACTATTAAAAATATCATGCCAGGTGCGGTGACTCATGCCTGTAATCCTACCACTTTGGGAGGCCAAGGAGGGAGGATCACTTGAACCCAGGAGTTTGGGGTTGCAGTGAGGTATGATCACACCACTGCACTCTAGCCTGAGTGACAGAGCAAATCCTGTCTCTGGAAAAAAAAAAAAATCAGATGCATTTAAAAGCAAGGACACATTCTTTTTTATAAGCCCTATTTTACATCTGCTTTACAAATTCATCTACCTTTCCTCTTGCTTTAGAACGAGTTTGAAATTGAATTCTTATATAATACAAACACAAAATGACCCCCCCCCTTTTTTTTTGAGACAGAGTCTCAACTGTGTTGCCCGGGCTAGAGTGCCATGGCGTCAGCCTGGCTCACAGCAACCTCCAACTCCTGGGCTCAAGTGATCCTTCTGCCTCAGCCTCCCGAGTAGCTAGGACTACAGGCATGCGCCACCATGCCTGGCTCATTTTTTCTATATTTTTAGTTGTCCAGCTAATTTCTTTGTATTTTTAGTAGAGATGGGGTCTCGCTCTTGCTCAGGCTGGTCTCGAACAACTGAGCTCAAACGATCCTCCCGCCTCGGCCTCCCAGAGTGCTAGGATTACAGGCGTGAACCACTGCGCCTGGCCACAAAATGATCCTTTAACAAAGAAGGTGGATTTCAAACTAGACTCTAAAATGCAGAGGGCCAGAAGCAATCATACCACTCATCTGCCCTGGAGCACAGATAAGTACCCTGCCTCACACCCACTAAAGGGTCTTGGAAATGTACAGCCTCTGGACTGGTTTGAGAGCTTACTGCAACGTGCACACAGTTTGGACTCCAACGACTAACGAGTTAATGGAGAACATGCTGGGCATTTGCAGCGTGCTGTGTGCTAAGCATCTTGCATGCCTAAGCTCTGAGAACCCTCACAGTCTCCTTGCAAAATCTATCAGTAGTGGGACCATCCTGCAGCTGAGAAAAGTGAATCTCAGAGCAGGAGGAACTGGCCCAGGACAGGGCTGAGACCCGTAGCCAGGCAGAGCTGATGTCGAAGCCCATGCTCTCAACTTACTATTCTGCAACCAAAGACAGTTCCTAGGCTTATTTCATACAGTTTTGTTATCTCTAAAGCCAACTTGAAAGCATCTGGAATTATTCTTCATTTGATTTCTCTCAATAGGTTTCCCTGTAGCTTAAGAACCATTGCTGATAGTATAAACAGTCAGGTTTCTAAGCCTCTCCATTCTTTGAGGATGTCCTAGCCTTTAAAAATACATGTAAATGCATATATACATACACACACATCTATGTCCCCTTTGCAAAACCCAGTCCCTTAATTATCCATGTCATGCACATTATCACACACGTTGGAACTCAAATCCTTGACACCATCAAGAAATTTACTTCTTTTTTCAGGACAAGGAAAATATAAGGAAAAAGAAGACAAGAGAGAAATGAGAAAGCTCTGCAAACCATATAAATGTCAAGATGCTCTCTCCACAGAAACAGAACCTGTAGTTAACACTAAAGGTGAATACTAAAGCTTTTGCATTCAGTGTCATTTTCTAGTTATCTAATGGCACACAGTGGACAGTTCCGGAAAATACCTGCTTTTCTGTGGCACTATAGCCATTCAGAGCCACTAGTGACTATGAATTCTGGAGCAGCCTAGCCCTTAGAAATCAAGTTGGCTGTTGACTGCTGGCTCCTTCAAGAGTAGCTATAGGTATTTCACATATTTAAGAAGAATATTAATGGCATCACAAAATGCTTTTAAGATAAAAGCAGGACTTAACACTTTTCTACACGGTATGATCTCAACTGTATAAAATATACATATATGCCTAGGAAAAGGCAGGACAGAAAATATGCCAAAATGTCTGTAAGTCCCACTTTCTAGGTGGCGAGTAGAGTCATTTATTTTCTCCGTACACTTTTCTGGTTTTCCCTATACAAGGTCCTGACAGGCAGGCAGAGCAGGAGGTGGACGGTTTGGTGGGCAGGCCCAGAGAGGCTGGGCTTACTACCTGGGCCTGAATCCAGGTTTTGGTGCTCACAAGCTGTAAACCCTTGAACGAGCTGCTTACCTTCTCTGATCCACACCTACAGGCAGGGCTGATAATCCAAGCTTCTCACCAGAGCTCAGAAGTGCCCAGCAATGCCAACCTTTACCAGCAGGCCTGCAGGTGACTCTATATCCTATGTGCAAGACCAACCTCAAGGCCACAGAATTTCCAGTAGAAAGATGGCCCATGTTTCCTTTTCTGCCTGGCCTTACATCGGTAAAATCTGAACCTAACGGATCTATTACTCATTGAAAACAGCTATGCTACATTACAGCCAACACACTCAAGTGGCTTCATGTTGTTATTATTTATCTTTAAGAGTTCAACAAAAAGCGACTCCATTTGGAAAGGAGAAAAGTTCAGGGCAAGATGAAATTGGTAGAATGTTCCTTCCTGAGGAAAAGCAGGTAAAGGTCACAATTTATTTTACTTTAAAAAAAAAAAAAACAGAACAAAGAATGGACGACACCTCGACTGTGGAGATACCTATACTGTAATATTTAGAACAGTTCTGTTCACATGAAATGATACTGAACAACACTGGAGAACTGAAGCCCTTACCTTGGCCTTTCCAATCTCAAAGGTTTCTTGTGGGGTGTAAATAACTGCCGTCTCTGGTCGGGTAGTCCGAATGAAGCACATTCCCTAGGGTAGAAATGAAAACCAGAGTCACAGTTTAGAAAATCAAACTATAAATTTCCAACTAAAGGACCTTACAACAAGTGGGGGAAAGGAGGACTGAATAGTTCTTTTTACTAAAAACAAAGTGTATACCTTGGAGCAAAGGACAAGCATCTACAACCACCGGCAAACAGGTCATGCGTCACCTGATCATGCCAGGCAAAGCCCAAGCAGGACCCTAGCAGATGCCCTCAGTGCTAAGCTCGCTGCACTACTGCATCTATTGCCCTGGGAAAGATTTCCCATGTACACACCGACCTGTTCTGTCTCCATAGGACACAAACTCAGGGCAGGAGCACTGACTCATGTTGACTACAAATCCCAGAACACAACGTTTAAAAATTAATTTTTACCACAATATCCTGTAATGCTTTATCTTTAGAAAGACTTTAGGCCGGGTGCGGTGGCTCATGCCTGTAATCCTAGCACTCTGGGAGGCTGAGGCGGGCGGATCGTTTGAGCTCAGGAGTTCGAGACCACCCTGAGCAAGAGTGAGATCCCCGTCTCTACTAAAACAATAGAAAGAAATTAGCTGTACAACTAAAAATATATAGAAAAAATTAGCTGGGAATGGTGGCGCATTGGTGCATGCCTGTAGTACCAGCTACTCAGGAGGCTGAGGCAGTAGGATCGCTTGAGCCCAGGAGATTGTGGTAGCTGTGAGCTAGGCTAACGCCACGGCACTCTAACCCAAGCAACAGAGTAAGACTCTGTCTCAAAAAAAAAAAAAAAAAAAAAAAAGAAAGACTTTAAATACCCGAATACGAAATGACTCGCCCTTTTCCCAATCAGAAGATGTAAATACATTTTTGTTATCAACTTCAACACAAACACGTAGTATAAATGAATATTCAGGGTCCTATGTGTAGCACTTCATAAACTCTGACAAAGGCATCACCACATCATTATCACCCAAGCCCAGAAGCCTCTTTTCAGTCACTCACCACCCCTAAGAAGCAATCTGTACTGTCATTTCTATATCATAGTCTTTATTTGCCTCTTTTGACCTTTCTAGAAATGAAATCCTATGGCATGTATGAAATCATAAAATAGAACTCCAAGATGTAGTAAGTAAACAAGCAAGTACAGAATAATGAGCACAGTTTGAACCTACTTATAAAACAAATCAAAGAAACATCTGTCCATGTGTTGCAAACGCTTAGACTGGGAACTCATAAGATCTGCCCCAACTGTGCCCAGGGGCACGGGTGAGGCACAGGGGTGGCAAGGGCAGCGTGGCAAACGTTAGCTGGAGAGATAAAGACTGCGCTCGCTTGTCCCCTGCAGCTAGGTTCTGGACAGAAACTTAATTCTGTCCCTCTGATGCCCTTGTGTGAGATCTCAGGAGTAAAAGCGAGGCTGAGGCCACACTCTTGCCCTTCTCAGCTGTTTCTGAGGGCGAGCTAGGGCCCAGGCCTGGGCTTTGTCTGCAGTAGCATCCTGCCACCCACTCTCCAGCTCCCTGGATGTCAAAAGGCAGTGGCAACGGTGGCTTCTGTATCCTTGTCTGCAGCAACCAGGGTGTGTCTTAAGTCCAACAGGCCCAGCAGTGGACTCAGAGGTGGCTGTTCCACTGGTGGGTTAACACGTTGTAGTTTGGGATCCTGCCTGGAGCCCACTGCTGCGACTTTGTAAGCAACCTTTGTTAAACCTTTTCTTGTTTAGAATACCCAGAGTGGTCCCTGTTTCTTGTGCTGAGCCCAGATACAGGCTGTCAGTTTTGTTCAGTATCCTTCTGCTTGAAAGGACTGTTTGATACAAAGCAAATGTGTTTGTGTGCATAATCACCTGTTTTTGCATTTTTAAAAAGAATCCTAATGCCAAATTTTCTACAATGAATTTACTTTTGTGCTAAGAAAAAATCCAATCATCGCTATCAAACTAGTATCAGAGCCCAGAATCATTTTCTGTCTGAACCAGCGTCCCCTTAAAAATACCTTGGAATTGGCCGCCAGAAAAAGAGCGTGCTCCATCGAGACAGCGTCACTTGGATAGAAAACAATGCCGTTGGGAATGGCTCGGAACATGGCCATATCCTCCAGTGCCATCTGGGAGGGGCTGTCTTCACCTGAGAAAGCCACAGCCCAACAAAAACATGAGCATGACCCCACCAGGAACCTGCCCTCTACCTCCCACTCACTCTTGAGAAGCAATAACTCTTACTGCCATGGGTGTCCCAAACCACAACAGAGTCCTCCAATATGGTCCAATTATGATGTTGATTTAACTGGTTATAATTTACATTGAGCTTTCACAGGCCTACTTCCCTTGAGATTGTACCATAACACCTCAGGTTAGGCTCCTAATTGACCTTTCAGATTCCTCAGTGTTCCTATCCAAGTTCACTGAGCACTGGTGGCCTGAGTCGGCTCTGCGGAGCCGCTGACCCTGCCCTCCTTTGGAGGGTCCGCTCAGGCTTTGGCATTCCTTCTCTGCTCTCCATCAAGAGACTGGGATTTGCAGACCCAAGTGGTCTCTTTCCTTTCTCCAGGCCTTCAAAGTAGTTGAACCTAACACCCCTTTGGGTTCCTTCAGCTTTACCCAGATGGCCATAATTCCCAGCGCCATCTAGAGCCATCTTGTCCAGCCTAATTCTCCCAGGGAGTCACTCGGGTTGCTCCCTCATGTGCACCTGCAGCATTCCAGCAGCAAGTGTAAGCTGCCATGTCTGCCCAGCTGATCTGCCTACCACAGGCCTACCAGACAGCTCATCTTTCCCGTGTCCTCTGCTATTGCTCATGAACTCAACTCCCTGACATTTCCCAGGTGAGAAAACCCGAGACCTGTTTTCGGCTTTTCAGGCCCCTCCATCTGTTAGCAACATTCACTTCTTCCTTCAGACGCTCTCAGGTCCACCCTGGACTTTCTACCCTGCTGCTGTTTCTACCACACACCTTGTTTCAATCCCCTCCCTGGCCTCCCTACTTCCTGTGGTTCTCTTCTAGCCCGCCCTGTCAGGTTAACATTCCTAGAACAGTGCTGTTGTTGGCCTTATTTCCCTTGCATCATGTTCCCCAAGGGTTCCCACTGCCCAAAACAGGAAGGTGCTGGTGGTCACCCTCGCCCCCATGCCATCCGAGCAGGCCTCACACCAGCCAGAATCCTCCTCTCTTCCCTCTGGTCACGCTGCTCACCCCCAGTTAGACTGGGACCAAAGTGAGGGTGGGAGGGGCTGCTGCCCTCATCATCCCCTGTACATGGCCCAACACATAAGGACACTCAGGACAGACTATTTCTCAGTGACTGCAAGGGGAGGCACTCTACAGCAGCACCAAGAGATTCACTTCAAAAGCTGCCCAGAGCGTCTGACCTTTTAAAATACAACATGGCTTTTGTAAAAGAAGTCATGAACAATCGAACTTTATGGAACCGTAAGAAATTCATGGTTCTGCCAATCACATTCGAATCCTTCCCTGTAAAGGAGGAAGGCTATCAAGATGGCCCACAGAACTCCTACCAACAGATACTCCACAGTGGGAGCCAATGAGGTTGATGTTGGTTTGAGAGATGACTCCCATCCGGATCTGATCAAATGCTCGGGTCAAAAAAGCACCAAAGGTGCTAGCAAAAGCAATGGTCCGACCACGGGTGGCACAACCCAGTGCCACGCTCACCTGTAACACAAAGAACATGGATCAGAAAACCTCTGGGCCCTGCCCACCCCCTGGTTTAGACCACACGGTCCCCATGATAATAACCCCTGCTCTGCACAGGCCACATCGCTCTGTAGTTCCAGCGTGCCTCCCTGCCATTCTCTTTTCTCAAACCCTCTCTACCCCTTCCTGCCCCCTCCTTTTCAGATGGTACCCTCACCTTGTATCTCCTAGGGATGGAGTCTCTCCCGTCTGTCCCTGTCGACTCCTGATCCGCCCTCCCTGCACCTCCCTAAGCCCAATGTGCCCACTGACCATCCTGAATCTCATCCCTCTCTTGCTTTCTCAAAGTTATCTCCAATCATGCAGTCCCCCTTCCCCTCTTGTATTAACTTGGTTTCTCCCTTTCTCTTGGATCATTCTGTTACCATTTAAATATACATGCCAGTACCTTTCAACTTCATTCTCCCACCTCTGCCTTATCCTTCTTCCAGAGACTGCCCCACATCTATGTTCTCCTTCACAGAAAACTTCCTGTTAAGTTGTCTATAGTCACTGTCCCTGTTTTCTTACCCTCCACTCTCTCCCCAGCCTACTTCATCTAGGCTGACCCCACGACGGACCTCAAAGCTGCCAAGCGTAAGAGGTTACCTGACCTCAGCTGGCATCTCATCTGACCTCTCAGCAGCAGTAAGCACAATAATTAACCCTTTTTTTCTCAAGGCGTATGCTTCTCCAGGTTTCTATGACATTGCAACAGTCTAGTCCTGCTGTGTCACTGGATTTGCTGGACTGTGTGCCTTTTCCCAATAGGCCTTTGGAGTGTGCCCTCAGGGCTCCATGCTCACACTCTTCCCCATTAGCCCTCTGGCTCTGGGAAGTCAAATATGGCCCAATGCTACTCTGATCTGCATCCTGGTCATGCCTCCCACTTTGTATCTCCAGGCTCATATACCCCAGCAGGTTTCAAACCAGAGTATAAGCCTCTTCAGGGATAAACCAAGACTTTCCAAGGGGGATGTGGCCATGGATGATTTCAAAGTCAAGAAACTCCCATCCATACCAACTTGGTTTTGCATCCATCTACTCCAGAGAAGGCCTGTGTTCCTTCCCACTGTCTCCTTAACAGTCACCTCCAGAAAACTAACTTCCAAAGGTACTCTCTCACCCACCCCACTCTCACAGTGGGGCAATATCCCTGAATGCAAAACCTCCACATAGAACTAAAGAGAACAATTTGAAATAATCACGCTGATACTGAGAAAGTGAAGAGGTTAAATGATCAGATGACAATGACTTTTGCAAGTCAGGTGGTTCCCAATTCTTTTTTTTTTTTTTTTGAGACAGAGTCTCCCTGTGTTGCCTGGGCTAGAGTGCCGTGGCGTCAGCCTAGCTCACAGCAACCTCAAACTCCTGGGCTTAAGCGATCCTCCTGCCTCAGCATCCCGAGTAGCCAGGACTACAGGCATGCACCACCATGCTCGGCTAGTTTTTTCTATATATTTTTAGTTGTCCAATTAATTTCTTTCTTTTTTTTTTTTTTTCTATTTTTAGTAGAGACAGGGTCTCGCTCTTGCTCAGGCTGGTTTCAAACTCCTGAGCTCAAACGATCCACCCGCCTCGGCCTCCCAGAGAGCTAGGATTACAGGCGTGAGCCACCGCGCCCGGCCGGTTCCCAATTCTTTCAACAAAATTGAGAAGAGAACCTAATGAAACTGTCTACAAATAATTTTTATAACCAACTTTAAAGGAAAAAATCACTGGGTGATTTTTGGCTTATAAATGGAAAGGAATTCAAAGAATTGAGTGACATTCCTACAACAAAACTTCCCTTTTCATCAACTTACTACGTGAGTAAGTTTTCTTAGCACTTACACCGTTAAAATGAAAAACAGGAGGCCGGGAGCGGTGGCTCACGCCTGTAATCCTAGCACTCTGGGAGGCCAAGGCGGGCAGATTGTTTGAGCTCAGGAGTTCGAAACCAGCCTGAGCAAGAGCGAGACCCCGTCTCTACTAAAATTAGAAACAAATTAATCGGCCAACTAAAAATATATACAAAAAATTAGCCGGGCATGGTGGCGCATGCCTGTAGTCCCAGCTACTCAGGAGGCTGACGCAGGAGGATCGCTCGAGCCCAGGAGTTTGAGGTTGCTGTGAGCTAGGCTGACGGCACGGCACTCTAGCCCGGGGAAAAGAGTGAGACTCTGTCTCAAAAAAAAGAAAAACAGGAAAAGAATCTGTTTTGAATTTCATCGCATTCAAATTACAAGTTTATTTATCCACTGATATATAAACTAATAGTAATAGCCATAACAATAAGAAAAAAATTCTAATGCTCAGAGGCTATGGATATAAGAAAAAAGCTATCAATTTACATGCATATTTTTGCTACAGAGAATAATAATCAGACAATTGATAAAAGGCTTTCATGCATAAAGATATATTGGGGAAATGGAATGGAAATAAGAATTGAAGTAGAAAAGGGGATTTAATTTCTGACAAAAGAAGAGTCTTAGCATAACCTTTAATTAAATGATCTGAGTATTAACATAAAATATCAAAAATTGGCTGGGCCTGGTGGCACATGCCTATAATCCCAGCACTTTGAGAGGCTGAGGAAGGAGGATCACTCAAGGTCAGGAGTTCAAGACCAGCCTGGGCAACATAGAGAGATCTCATCTTTAAACAAATAAAAATAAAAAAATTAGCCAGGTGTGGTGGTGTGCGCCTGTAGCCCCAGTCACTTGGGAGGCTGAGGCAGGAGGATCGCTTGACCCCAGGAGTTTGAAGCTACAATGAGCTGTGATTGCACCACTGTGCTCTGGCCTGAATGACAGAGCAAGACCCTGTTTCTTAAAAAAAAAAAAAAAATTTAGATGTTAGGGGCTGGGTATGGTATCTCATGCCTATAATCCTAGCACTTAGGGAGGCCAAGGTGAGAGGATTGCTTGAGGCCAGGAGTTCCAGACTAGCCTGGGCAATGTAATGAGACCATATATCTACAACAAATTTTAAAAAATTAGCTGGGTATGGTAGTGCATGCCTGCGGTCCCAGTTACTCCAGAGGCTGAGGCAGAAGGATTGTCTGAGCCCAGGAGTTTGAGGCTGCAGTGAGCTATGATTGCGTCACTGTATTCCAGCCTGGGTGACAGAGCGAAACCCTGTCTCTAAAACAAAAAAATTAAAAACAAAATTTAGATATTAATTTAAAGCTAGGAAAAATGGTATGTAGCTTAGAAAAACACATTCAGTGGTTTGGAGAGCAGACACACTTGAGGTCAACTGATCTCTGGCTGACCTACCTGACAGCACTGTACCCTCCCCCTTTGCATACCTAGCAGGTACTCTGACCCTCTGGGTCTGAACAGCTCCTGATGGTCCTTCCAAAACCACTCCTCCCCCAGTCTTCTCAATCTCAAGAGATGAGGCCAACCTCACCCAGGCATCCTGGCCTACACCAAGTACCAACCTTGGCTCCTGCCTTTACATCAACCCCTGGGCATCCTGCCAGCTCTCATGCCAAGGAAGTTTCCCATAAGTCTGCTTCTCCCCAAGCTCACAGCTACTGCCCTGGTCCAGGCCACCCTCTCCTTCACCTCCTTCCCTTCCCCCACAAAGCCATTCTCCACACTGCAAGGTTTCCCAGCAAACTGCAAGAGAAGCCGAGATGCTGAAAGTGGCCCGTAAGACCCTGTATGATTTGGTCCCCAGAGACATTTCCAAGCCAATTTCCTTCTGTACTCATCACACTTCTGCCACTCTGGCCTTCCCTACGCTCCCTGAACACTCCAAGCTTGGGCCTGCCTCACAGCTAGCTATGCCCTCTGCTGGGAATGCCAACGCCCACATCTGTGCATGACTGACTCCTTGTCACCTGAGTCTCAGCTTAAATGTCACCTCTTCTGAAAGGCTGTCCCTGATTGTCCCTTGTCATGCACTTACTGTAGCCACCTCTTTCGGCATGGCACCAAATATTACCTGCTGGCCCCTTTTTTACGAGTTTTCTTTCAAGTATGAGAAGACATCAACAGGCACAGAGTATACGGTTGTTGACTAAAGGAGTCAATGACTTGGAGAGTCAGCTTTTTAATAGGAGGGTCAGTCCAGAAAATTATGGATTGCATTTTTCCCATTCAAAATGAAATGAAACCCATGGAAAAACATATTTTACAACCGTGATGACCCACTTTACTGAACAGGAGTGCTTAAATCTCAACACCAATGGGGCCCAAGAAGCATCGTTAAAGGAACAAGTGGACCAACACAGTGTGGGGACCACAGGGCACTGGCTGTGAGTGCCCATCTAAGCAGGGCTGCTGCTTGGCTCCAGTCAACCAGAATTAGGAGGCAATGCCAGCCTGCAGTGGCAGTTCTTCCCATTTTTCAAGACAATCCAGAAATTTGGATTCTATTTGCAAAGCTCCTAATTTTTAAATGCTGAACTAATTTTTAAAAGATTTTAAATACTACTTGTTCCAAATAAAGTATTGCTGGAAAATAAAGTATTGCAAGCAAAACCACATGCTTTCCAAGTAGCCACCTAGAAGAGAGAAAAAGTCAAGTGGCAGAGTTTCTCAGAATGCATTTAGAAGGAAGGTATAATTTTGTAGAACTACAATTTGTCATGTGTCTTGATGAAAAAAGTAAATTTGTGACTTATCAGTAATTTCTTTTAGGGTCATAAACAAGGATTGCTAGCCAATCTTAATATCTCAGATCACATGACACCTGCTGGCCTATGGTTTTCTGGCCAGAAGAAAATCACTGAGGTACCCAGTGCTGTTTTGGCCTCTGTGACATAAAGACAGGAAGTGGGCATCGTGCTGGCAGAGCTTTAGAGGTCAAAGGGTTTACCTGCATTAACTCCCTTCTCTCTTGAGGGTCGGACATGGGTGCACGCACACAAGTGACTCCCTGCATTAAGACAACTCTGAGGTGAGACTGAGGCACAGAAAAGCAGAACAGCTTTATGCAAGGTGCCAGCTCTAACTACTGGTATTCCTGACACTACAAGTGGTGTGACATTTGCATTTCTAAAATGTATTAGGCCCCGCCCTACAGTGGAGAGAGGAAAAACGCTTTCCCTGCGGTTCCTCAACCTATTTGCCTCTGGGTGGTCGTCAGGTTGCCTAGTTATGGGCTGGACTGGACAGGAAGAGCCACTAGGGAGCTTGGGACACTTCAACCCCCAGCCTGCTGTCCCTGGCCTGCCTGGGGAGGGAGCTGAGAAGTCTACCACGCCCCTCCTAGCAGACCTGCCTCCTGTTTCCCTAGAGACTTTTTTCCAGTCCCTTTGCTTTTATAAATGAAAAGAAAAACTGTAACGCAGGGTGGGCCTCCTATGTCCTGTGGGCCACTGATAAGTTAGCAAGAAGACCAGAAAGAGATGCTACACACTCACCATGTTCTGCTCAGCAATAAAACACTCGATGAACCGCTCAGGGTATTCTTTCTTGAATATCTCAGAGAAGGTAGTGTTCTTGGTGTCACCATCCACCACAATGACTCTGTTATTTGCATGGCCCAGCTTAGCCAGAGCAAACCCACATGCTTTCAGAGTAGCCATCTGGAAGAGAGAAAAAGTCAAGTGGTAGACTTTCTTAGAAGGCATTTAGAAGGAAGGTATAATTTTGTAGAATTACAAATTGTCATCTGTCTTGATGAAAAAAGTAAATCTGTGACTCACCAGTAATTTCCTTTAGGGTCATAAACATGGATTGCTAGCCAATTTTAAACCCATACTTGGCTCATCTGGTATCAATTTCCCAAAAAGGTGTCTCATAAGTGGCTGATATCGTACTCAACTTTTCTAGAATTGTGCTCTTTTTAGTTAACATCCTCCTACCCCTACTTCCCAAGCAGGAAAACATCCCACAACCCATCAGTGAGATTCCAGACATTAATAGTCCTTATTGTATTCTTCCAATTACTTTGCTACATTAATTGGTCTACTGTCTAAAAATTTACAGATGGCATTTTATTTGAAACATGTGCCTCATCTAAATTTATTGTCTCATCCATATAGTTTATTTAAAATTTTAAAAATTATTTTCCAAAATGCAAATGCCTCTGTGGCTTTTTAATTATAAAACTAATAATACTCACTCCAAAAAATTAAAATACAGAACTTTAGAATCATGACACCAATGATAAAGAATTCCACTAGAATATTATTTGAGATTGGACTGAATTTATAAATTAATTTAGGGAAGAACTGACACCTTTACAATATTGACTTTTTCTATTAAAAAACAAAGTTTGGGCCAGGGTGCGGTGGCTCACGCCTATAATCCTAGCACTCTGGGAGGCTGAGGCAGGAGGATTGCTTGAGACTAGGAGTTCGAGACCAGCCTGAGCAAGAGCAAGACCCTATCTCTACAAAAAGTAGAAAAATTAGCTGGGCATGGTGGCATGTGCCTGTAGTTCCAGCTACTCAGGAGGCTGATGCATGAGGATCATTTGCGCCCCCGAGTTGGGAGGTTTCAGTGAGCCATGATGACACCACTGCACTCTGGCCTGGGTGACAGAACAAGATCCTGTCTAAAAAACAACAAAAAAAAACCCACGAGGTTTTGCAGCCCCTCAAACTGTTAAACACAGAATTACCATATGAACCAGCAATTCTACCCCTAGGTATATACCCAAGAGAAAACATACATCTATACAAAAACTTGTACACAAATGTTCAAAGCAGCATTATTCACAATATCCAAAAGGTAGAAACGAACCAAATGTCTATCAACAGGTGAATGGATAAAAAAATGTGGTCTATCGGCCGGGCGCGGTGGCTCACGCCTGTAATCCTAGCTCTCCGGGAGGCCGAGGCGGGTGGATTGTTTGAGCTCAGGAGTTCGAAACCAGCCTGAGCAAGAGTGAGACTCCATCTCTACTAAAATTAGAAAGAAATTAATTGGACAACTAAAAATATATAGAAAAAATTAGCCGGGCATGGTGGTGCATGCTTGTAGTCCCAGCTACTCGGGAGGCTGAGGCAGGAGGATCGCTTGAGCCAGGAGTTTGAGGTTGCTGGGAGGTAGGATGACGCCACAGCACTCTAGCTCGGGCAACACAGTGAGACTCTGTCTCAAAAAAAAAAAAAAAATGTGGTCTATCTATAAAATGCGTTATCTGAGTACAAAAAGGAATGAGTTACTGGTACATGCTACATATGGATGAATCTGAAAACCATTGTGCTAAGGGAAAGTCGTCAGACACAAAAGATCACTGCATCTCAAACTCCTGGGCTCATGATCTCATTTATGTGAAATGTCCAGAATAGGCAAATCTAAAGAGACAGAAAGTAGGTTAGTGGTTACCAGGGGTGACAGGTCCGGAATGGGAGTGACTGCTAATGGGTATGGGGTTTCTTTTGGGGTGATGGAAATGTAAGACTGACTTTGGTGACGGTTTCACAACTCTTGTCAATATGCTAAAAACCACTGATTTGTACACTTTAAATGCCTCTTCATTTGTCTTTGTTCTTTCATCTAAGCACTCTAAAAAAATACAGCTGGCTGCAGTGGTTCACACCAATAATCCCAGCACTATGAGAGGGTGAGGCAGGAGGATCACTCGAGGCCAGGAGTTCAAGACCAGCCTGGGCAATAGTGGTAGACTAGCTGGACATAGTGGTGAAAACCTATAGTCCCAGCTGCTCAGGAGGATCACTGGAGCCCAGGAGTTCAAGACTGCAGTGAGCTATGATCATGCCACTGCATTCCAGCCAGGGCAACAGAGACCTTGTCTCCAGAAAATAAAATAAATAAATAAATAGAAGGATATCAAGTGAAGAGGCCATTTTCCTCCTGCTCCTCTCCCCTAGCCACCAAGTTCCCCTCCTCCCCAGAGGTAAACAGCAACAATAGGTTTGTGAGGCGACCTTTCAGAAACAGTCTACACACAAATATTAGGTTTGTGCAAAAGTAATTGCAGTTTTAGCATTGTTGAAATTTGCCGTTTGATACTGGAACGCGTTCTTAAAATAAGTGTGAGTATGTTATCCACCATTTTAATGCGTATTTTTCACTTTATTTTTTTTTGCTAATGCCTTATTACTTGCTGTTTATTTTATATTTATTTTAGACTATGGAAATGATGTTAGACAAAAAGCAAATTCGAGCAATTTTCTTTTTTTTTAAACCCTTCATATTTGGCAATACAGTTAAAACGAAGCACCCTAAAAGTTCCACTGAAGTTGTGTATGTCACAACAACTAAAACTCTTTTTTTTTTTTTTTGACACAGAGTCTCGCTGTGTTGCCCGGGCTAGAGTGCCGTGGCATCATCCTAGCTCACAGCAACCTCAAACTCCTGGGCTCAAGCAATCCTTCTGCCTCAGCCTCCCGAATAGCTGGGACTACAGGCATGCGCCACCATGCCTGGCTAATTTTTTCTATATATTTTTAGTTGTCCAATTAATTTCTTTCTACTTTTAGTAGAGACGGGGTCTCGCTCTTGCTCAGGCTGGTTTCGAACTCCTGAGCTCAAACAATCCACCCGCCTCAGCCTCCCAGAGAGCTAGGATTACAGGCGTGAGCCACCGTGCCCGGCCTAAAACTCTTTTAAAATAAAAACTCTCATGGTCTTTAAAGGGAAAGAGAAACAATAACATCTTTCCTATTTCATCTACTTTAATGCCATCCAGTTTTTAGCCACGCTACCTAATGGCTTATTTATTTTTACTGGGGAGACAGTTCTGTGTGAATTTTGGATTAAGACAAACCTGGTAAGTCCAGACCTTATTATTTCCTATTTCTATGACCTGAAGTAGCTCTCTCAGCCTTAATTTTCTCACCTATAAAATGGGGGTAAAATAACAGTAGCAATCTCACGGGGTTGTGGTGAGAAGAGACAATGAATGTAAAGTGCTAAGCACATAGTGGAAGCTCAGTGACTGCTTGCTACTAAATACACTAAGCAATAAGGCCTTGTGCAAGCCTTACCGCGTACAAGCACTACTCCAAGAACTTTACATATACTGACTTTTTCAATCTTCACAACTATGACAGAGATAGATATTACTATTATCCCCATTTAACAGGTGAGAAACTGAAGCAAAGAGGTTGAGAACTTGCCCAAGTTTACCTGGGATTTGAATCCCATCAGTCCAGCTCCAGAGTCCTTACCCTCAACCACTGCACTGCAGTCCACCTCCTTAATCAACAAGCCTTCTTAGAAAAGGAGAAAGGAGAGCGGTGGCGAGGCCTGGTAATGTCGAACGATTTGAGATGTTAAGGAGCACCCTAATATCTCAGATTAGGGCTAACTCCGCTCTCTCCCGCCCCACTCCCATTTAAGATACTCCAAGGAGCCTTTATGAAATTCAAAGTTTATGCTTAGCCAGTTTTACATTTGATGTCATCTTTTCAAAGTTCTTACTAATCAGTCTCATGTAGAGCGAGGTGGGTAATAGAGGGAAGGGTGACAGGAAACTGGACACTCAGCAGACACAGGAGCAGCACCACATGCCTGACTCACTTGGGGTTTTTTAAAAAGAGAAAGAACATCTTCCGACAAGTAATAAGACGTGGCCTTGACCATATGGGAACGGGATCCATCCCCCACCCCACAAAACTGAGAAAAGGATAGCGGGAGTCGGTGTGAGCAGGACATGGGGAGTGCCTCACTCCTGACAGCATGGAAACCTCGTTCGTCCCCCTCAACGCCTCTGACCCACAACGTAGGGTCACCTGTAGGGATTGGGCTCCACCTCTGGGCTCATCTTCTCGATGTGGGCCGGCCGCACACTTCATCACCGCTTCCAAGGACCCACTCACTTCTCTCTTGGGCAAGTTCCCGCTCCAGCTCCTGTACACACTGCTGCTGCAGCCCCACACTAGGCTGGGCCCCAGAGGAGTAAGTGAGGAGGCACCTACCCGCTGCCTTCCTAGCCCAGAGCCCTGGGGAAGCGCTCCCAGCACCTTGCAAACAGACACATCTCCACCACTCCCAAGGACTTTCCCTCGAGTGATTTTCTTGTTGTAAAGCAGCAGAGACAACACGCAACATCAACGCATTTGGCCCAGGAACTGCTAACGAATGTACAGTGCAGTGGTGGTTCAAGAAGTTTTGCAAAGGAGATGAGAGCCTCGAAGTTGAGGAGTGCAGTGGCCAGCCATCAGAAGTTGACAACAACCAATTTAGAGAAATCATTGAAGCTGATCATCTCACAACTACACGAGAAGTTGCCGAAGAACTCAATGTCGACCATTCTACAGTCGGGTCATTCGGCATTTGAAGCAAATTGGAAAGATGAAAAAGCTCGATAAGTGGGTGGCTCATGAGCTGACCGAAAATTTTAAAAAATCATCATTTTGAAATGTCATCTTCTCTTACTGTAAGCAACAATGAAGTATTTCTCTTCTCCATTGGATTATGAAGTGTGACGAGAAGGAGATTTTCTACAACAACTTACAATGGGCGACGACCAGCTCAGTGGCTGGACCGAGAAGAAGCTCTAAAGCACTTCCCAAAGCCAAACCTGCACCACAAAAAGGTCATGGTCACCGTTTGGTGGCCTGCTGCCAGTCTGATCCACTACAGCTTTCTGAATCCCAGCGAAACCATTCCATCTGAGAAGTATGCTCAGCAAATGGGTGAGATGCACCAAAAACTGCAACGCCTGCACCCGGCATTGGTCAACAGAAGGCGCCCAGTTCTCCTACACGACAACGCCTGACTGCATGTCGCACAACCAACGTTGAACAAACTGGGCTACGAAGTTTTGCCGCAGACACCATATTTACCTGACCTCTCACCAACCGACTACCACTTCTCCAAGCATTGTGACAACTTTTTGCAGGGAAAACACTCCTACAACCAGCAAGATGCAGAAAATGCTTTCCAAGAGTTCGTCAAATCCCGAAGCATAGATTTTTATGCTACAGGAATAAACAAACTTATTTCTCATTGGCAAAAATGTGTTGACTGCAATGGTTCCTATTTTGATTAATAAAGATGTGTTTGAGCCTAGTTCTAATGATTTAAAATTCATGGTCCGAAACCGCAATTACCTTCACACCAATCTAATATTTGGTGAGCATCTCATCTCTTGCGTAGAAGACATACAGTCTTCTTTTGGCTTCTAATTGTATAAGCATCTTAGTATAGATTATATATGATTATTCTTAGACGTTTTAATTTCTATTACTATTATCGAAGGGATATCTTACCATTATACCTGCTAACTAGTTATTCAATATAAGAAAGGAACTGATCTTGTACCTTAGTTTTGCTACAAGCTCTCTTACTGGTCTCTGTTCTTATTTCTAACCATTTCTGGTAGATTCTCTTGGGTTTCCAGATATACAACTCTATCACCTGCAAATAATGACAGACTTGCTGTCTCTTTATTGGTGCTGACTTTTTTTCTTTTTTAAGACAGGGTTTCACTGTCACCCAGGCTAGACATAGTGGCATCCTCATAGCTCACAGCAACCTCAAACTCTTGGGTTCAAGTGATCCTCCTGTACCAGCCTCCTGAGTAGCTGGGACTACAAGCGCATGTCACCACACGCGGCTTAGGTAATGATTCTTTTATTCCTTAACTGCAACAACTAGCACTTCCAGAGCAGGGCTGATAGGTGCAAAAGGGGCTCCAGATTTAAGATGTCTACATCTAGAATCAAATTGAGGAAGTATTTCACCAATCTTACTTTGTTTTACTAAGAGGTTTTTTAAAAAAAAGAACCCACCAGAAATGTTGAATTTTATGAATCACGCTTTTCCTCCTTCCTTTGACCTAGTAATATGACAGTGAATTATATTAGTAAGTCTCCTAATATTGATGAATCATCTGTATTACTAATTTGAACTTCGCTGATTCATACACTTCTTTTAATGTACTAATGGAGTTGAGATTGGTTAATGTTTTATTTAGAATTTTACATTAATATTCATAAATGAGGCTGGTTTACAATTTTTTTCCCCTTTGGGCTAGCTTTGCCACATTTTTGCTTCATAAATGAATCTAGATGACACTTTCCATCTTCTTCCATATTTGGAAAGGTTTTCAATAGCTTAGGGATTACCCATTCCTTGAAGGTTAAAAATAAATCACTCTTGTAACTTGGTGAGCCCAGTGCTTTGGAAGCATAGCTCTTGGACAGTTTTCCCAATTTATTTCTATGGCTATTGACCTACTTAGGGTTTTTGTATCTCTTTTAGTCAATTTTGATATTTTATGTATTCGTAAAAATTGTTTAACACGTTTTCATACCAATTAGCATAGAGTTGTTTATGGTTTTCTTATAATTCTTTACATGTTCTTTGTACCTGTGGTTATCATCTCTTTCCAATGACTAAGTTTATATATGTTTTTTATCTCCTTGAGTAGGCTAGCTAATGGCTTGTCTATTGTATCAGTAATTCAAAGAGTCAACTCTTAGATTTGCATATTAATGTGATTTATTTTTGAACTCACTGACTTTTTTTTTTTTTTTGAGACAGAGTCTCACTCTGTTGCCCCGCCTGGAGTGCAGTGGCATCATCACAGCTCACTGCAACCTCCAACTCCTGGGCTCAAGCGATCCTCCTGCCTCAGCCTCCTGAGTAGCTGGGACTACAGGTGCACACCACCACACCCAGCTAATTTTTTCCATTTTTTGTAGAGATGGGGTCTCGCTCTTGCTAAGGCTGGTCTCAAATCCTGAGCCAAGTGATCCTTTCGCCTCAGCCTCCCAGAATGCTAGGATTACAGGCGTGAGCCACCTCGCCTGGTCTTTGAACTCACTGACTTTTGATGAACTGGCCTGCTTCCTTAATAATTTTTTTCCTATTCATACTTTATAAAATTTAAAAGTTCCCGTAATTCCACCTAGAGGTATACACTTAACATTTGGTGTCATTTCTGCGAAACCACTTTTTTATGCCTTGCAATCATGTATAATAACCTCTTTTAAGATTTTCAACACATAAACAGAATTATACACTATGCTGCTTTGTAACTTTTAAAAAAAATTTACTAATAATTTGGACAAGCTCTTAGCCTCCCATGCTGGGCTGTTTCTAATTTTGGTATCCTAACAAATGTTGCAATGAACATTCATTTTGACAAACGTATCTGCACACTTGCAAATACGTATTTCTGTAGGCTGAATTCCTGTAAGTTGTACCACTACTTTGAAGGGTGTGAAGTTAAAGTGTTAACACATATTGCCAAAGTAACCTTCATTAACATGCACTTTTTTCTTTCTTCTGCTTTTTATTTTAATTTTTTTTTTTTGAGATGTGGTCTTGCTCTGTTGCCCAGGCCAGAGTGCAGTGGTGTCATTATGCCTCACTGCAACCTCAAACTCCTGGGCTCAAGCGATTCCCCTGCCTCAGCCTCCCCGGTAGTTGGTACAACAGGTGCTCGCCACTCCATGCCTGGCTAAATTTTTAATTTTTTGTAGAGATGAGGTCTCACTATTGCCCAGGCTGGTCTTGAACTCCTGACCTCAAGTGATCCTTCCGCCTCAGCCTCCCAAAGGGCTAGGATTATAGGCGTGAGCCATTGTGTCTGGCCCCAAATCATTTATTTTTAACCCTTATCACCAGGCTAAGAAAACAAGCAACTCTCAAAATTTCTCCAAATAAGGAAGGGTCAGAAACATGTTCTTCCTCCCAGGCTTGCCACCCTATTTTCTCTAGATCCTGAAGACCCTGCCTATTTCAGTTCTGCTATAATATACCAGAAGGCAGGATATAAAAATGATAAAAAACAAGAAGGCTTTATCTTCAGGGTTTCATGCATAATTTGATTCCTTTTCACAGAACTGGTTTTGATGAACTGCTCTGCTGCCCTGTGTAATCCAGAGAGTATGTCCAAAAGATCAGCCCACCTGGGCCACCATCCTTACGGCAGACACAGAATTGTGGCAGTTTCATGTACAGTAGACTGTCAGCTCACAAACCAAAGTTAGGAAGCAAGAAAAAGCCACACAACACCAGGTGCTAATAAATAGCAACCGACCAATAAAAATATTCAGACCTAAGTGTGAAAGCAGAGAATAAAAATCAGAGCTACTAAAAGAGACAGTAAACCCATCTTTATTGCTTATAACTGCTAATTAAATGTCATACCGTCCAGTAATTTGTTTATCCATGGAGATCAGAAAAATGAAGAATCCTGTGTATTTAGGAACAAAACCGGAGAACAAAGCAGTTGATGTACACGATTTATTCAATTATCCACCTTTTTGCCTACCTTGTCACCAACTTTGTAAGCAGGTGGAGAGGTCGTTTCTATAACCATGATGCTGATTTGAGGTGAATCCTCAATAGGGGGTTTTGGTGTAGGATTCCTGTTGGTCTGTATCTGGCTCTCAATTAATTTGATAATTGCATCTGCTCTTTCTTTTGACATTGGCTTTCCATACCAATTTTCTGCATCCTCAACGTCTGTAACAAAACAAATAAAAGACATTAATTCTATAAATATTTAAGAAGTGCCTATCAGGTCATCTGAAAGACATCCCGATGGAAATGATGTCAGTCTAGGACTCACAGGAGTAAAAACCTGGCACAGAGGGCCTGCGATGGCACTGCAGTCAGACAGAACAGCCTGGACCAAAGCCTGAGGCTCTTGAGGGGGCCACTGGCCCAGGTGCTGTGAAAGGAGGGGAGAGTGAGGGAGACAAGGCTGGAGAGACAGGCGGGACAGACTATGGAGGGTGGGTCTCATGGATATGACGAGGAGTTTGAGTTTTATCCCGAGCAAGACGAGAAACCACTGAAGGGCTTGGAGTGGAGAAAGCGACTGATCAGATTCATTTTAGAAAGATCATTGTGGCAGCAGTGCGGGGGCTGGCACGGAGGGGATGCAAGCTGTAAGCGGAAAGACTGCTGGCGAAACTGCTGCAGTCTGGGAGAAATGAAAGGGTGTGGCAATGGTCATGGCAGTAGAGATGGGGAGGAGGAGTGGATGTGAGGTGCGCTCTAGGGACCAGGTATGTGTGTGGGGGCATATCAGGGAGAAATGGAGGCAAGGATAATACCCAGGGTTCTGCCAGGAGCACACTGGGAAAATTGTCATTTACTGAACTGGAGGTATCAGATAAGACTGTATTTTGGGGTGGAGTCATAGAACAGTTTTATTCTAAAAATTCTGTATTTAAAAAAACAAGGAACCACATCCTTTGTACTATTTCAACATGAGATAAACAATGTCAGATGTCAGCCTTGAAATGTGCAAGGAGTTACTCTTTCAAAACTCCCTCCTTCCCCAGACCCCAGGTTCCACAGCTCCACTTCCCAGAGGTGATGCTTTACTAGTTTTCTGTGTGTTCTTCCACACAGTCCAGGCCTAGGTAAGCATGTATGGACACACAGCACGCTTCCTGACTCTGACTCTATCCTGACCATGGAGACTGTCTTCCCAGCTGCTCACTCACGCAGGTAGAAAGCCACTGTTCACTTCCTGGGGGTTTCAGCTTTCCCTCCTACCCTAGCCAGACACTGTTGGTGAAGGCAAGACAGAGCAGGGGCCTCCAGCACATATTACAGGCATAACCACTGTTCACTAAACACTCTCCACTGCCTCCTTCCCTGCTGCGCAGCTTTCTCCAGACCTCGTCATGCAGGTGAGCATTGTCCCGAGAGGTAGCTGGTGCTGACCCTGTAACCCAAAGGGGGAAACAGCTGGATAAGCATAGCCTTGGTAACTGAGTTAAACGGTAACTGAATTAAAGAAGACAGACCTCCTTAGAGATTCAGGAAGGAGGTTCGGCTGAGGGACTCAGCAGAGCAGGGCCGTTGAGCCCCTGCTCTCAGAAACCCCCGCAAGCTCGGCACGAGGATCCCATAAGGTCGGAGCCTGGCAGATTGGAGCCATAGATCCAAGCCATAGGTCAGAGCCAGGGCCTGCAGAAACTCCAACAGAACAGTCAGCAGAGCAGCCACGATGAAGATTCAAGCAGGTTCCTGAGTCCTCAAGCACGGGAAGAAAGCCCCCAGAATGAGAACATGAAGGAGCAGGATGTTGGCAGAGATCAACCCCCGAGAGGCTTGCAGTCCAGCGAGAAGGGCAGGTGGAGTGGCTTATTTCTCTCTACCCTATATCTCTGGCAGGCAGTGGGCTCCTGAGCTGCTGGAGAGCTCTTCTACTTCACAAGCCCAAAAGCTGCTGCCGCCAGTGAACTGGGAGCTTCATCAGGACAAACCATCAGGCAGCTGGCACCCTCGGGGTCACTTCCCATCACTGCAGACTCGAGCTGAGATGGCTGAGATGCCATACTGCTTCTCCACCCACGGTGCATGTTTGTCCTTCCCAGGGGGTCTCAGCCCCTCGCTTTTTGTCTTATTTGTTCCCACACAAACATTTTCCAACTCCAGCCCGGACTGTGGGAGCCACAGGGGGCCAGTGGGTCCCAGGGGATATGTGTGACTCCAGAGCCTGGATATTCTGGGTGGGCTGCCTTCTGGAGAGAGGGACAGAGACCACCAGAGTGCTAGCTTTATTTCACTCATACTCTTTTCTTCCTCTTCCCCTGCCCTGACCATGGCTGCTGAGAGACGACTGAGCCAGGGCTCTGAGGAACTGCTTCTCCTCTCCTTCCCCTCCCCCACCTGTGGCTGCTGAGAGAGACAATTGAGCTACCACGCTCAGGATTCATTCCACGGACAATGGGGCTGAGTCCTTTTCTCTAGGGATCCTACAGCAGACTGAGGGGGTGCTCGGTCTGTGAGCTCCCCGCCTGTTGGCCCTCCCTGGTGCCACTTGCCCAGCGACTCCATCAGTGCGGGGCATGCCCTGAGGCAGACGGACATCAAATCTGCTTGGGAACCCCGTGGGCAACTTGGGACCAGCATGCTTCTCCCTGGCACAGTCAGGGATTGATCTTTGGGGACCTAGGGACAGGCCTACAGGCCAGATCCCGTACCTCCGGGTCTCAACTGCATTGTTTGGGGACAAGGAGGGGGGAGATTTGTGATTGGGTGAGGCCACTATAGCCCCTCCCTGGAAGCTTTGCCTAGAAGCTGGGAGCAGACCCTTTGACCCCTGCTGAAACAGATACCTTGTCAGCTTTGGTGGAGCCTGAGGGCAAGCTCATACAACCCAGTCCTGTCCAGCCACACTCCCCTACCCGCCTCTGCTGTGGCAGAGAAAAAGGAATCACCTGAAGTTCCAGGGCCCCACACACCACCTGGGGAAATCAAGTGCTTCTCAGAAGGGACTAAAGCCAGTCACAGGACCTAAAAACAACACTGAAGCTTGTTCCTTCCGGCAAACACCACCGATTGACAGGGAGGTCAATTTGTACTCCCTTTACAGCATTTACTGAGTCAATCATACAGGGTGTAGTTGAGTCTCACCCATTAAGTACCACCCACTGTCTCAGAGATTAAACTGGGCTTGTCATTATCTAATCAAAAGAAAATCTAAAAACAAGAAGCAAAAGCTGCTCCAGATGAGAAGGAATTAGTGAAAGATCTCTGGATACATGAAAAATCAGAGTGAGAAGACACCTCCCCCCCTCAAAAAAAAAACAATAACTCTGTACCAATGCAAACCAACCCAAACAAGAATATTGAAATGACTGATAAAGAATTTTGAATATGAATTTTAAGGAAGGTCAATGAAATACAAGAGAAAATAGAAACCGAATACAAGGAAACCATGAAAACAATTCAATAAATGAATGAAAAATTCACTAAAGAAATTAAATTATTAAAAAAAATCAAGCAGAGCTTCTGGAAACGAAAAATTCATTCAAGGAAATACAAAACACAGTCGAAAGCCTTAAGAGTAGGCTGGATCAGGCAGAAAGAATCTCAAAGCTACAAGACAACACCTTTGAATTAAACGAGTCAGTCAAAGAGAAAGAACAGAGAAATAAGAGGAACAAACGAAGCCTACAAGAAATATGGGATTATGTAAAGAGGCCTAACATAAGAATTATAGACATCCCTGAGGGTAAAGAAGAAAATACATAAGGGCTGGAAAACCTATTTGAGAGAATACTGCAGGAAAATTTCCCAGGTCTTGCTAGAAATCTGGACATCAAGGTACTAGAAGCAAAATGGACTCATGGGAGATTCATCGCAAGAGGCAATCACCACAACATATGGTCATCAGACTGGCCAGAGTTAACACAAAAGAGGAACTCCTACGAATCATAAGGCAACTTACAAAGGAAAACCCATCAGACTAACTGCAGACTTCTCAACTTACAAGCTACAAGGGACTGGGGCCCCATTCTCAGTCTTCTCAAACAGAATAATGGCCAGCCTAGAATTTTGTATCCTGAAAAACTAAGTTTCTTATATGAGGGAGAAATAAAGACTTTTCTCAGACAAGCAAACACTGAGGGAATTTGTCAAGACCAGACCTGCCCTTCAGGAAGTACTCAGATCTAAATTATACATTGATCAACACAATAGACACCCACTAGTGTAAAACAATCCAAAAGCTAAAGTTAAGAGCCCAGATACCACACTGGTTCAAGAGGTAAAACAAGGCAATAAAGTTCTATGTAACAAGATGAACAGAAATCCACCCCATTTATCACTTCTTTCGATAAATGTGAATGGCTTGAACTCCCGACTCAAGAGACATAGGCTGGCTGAATGGATAAAAAAACACAAGCCAAGTATCTGCTGTCTCCAGGATATGCATCTGACCCACAAGGACTCATTCAGACTCAAAGTGAAGAGATGGAAAACAATATTCCATGTAAATGGAAACCAAAGGAAAGCTGGTGTAGCCATTCTCATATCAGATAACATAGACTTCAAATCAACAAAAGTAAAAAAAGACAAAGATAGTCATTATATAATGGTGAACAATTTAACAAAAAGACTTAACAATCCTAAATATCTATGCACCTAACACAGGTGCACCCAGATTCACAAAGCAAATCCTACTTGATCTAAACAAAATTATAAACAGCAGCACTGTAATAGCCGGGGACTTTGACACCTCACTGACAGAATGGGACAGATCCTCCAAACAGAAAATAAACAAAGAAACAATGGACTTAAACATGACTCTAGAATAAATGGGCCTAACAGACATTTACAGAACATTCTACCCCAAAACTACTGAATATATGATGTTTTCATCAGCTCACGCAACATTCCCTAAGACTGATCACATCCTAGGCCACAAAACATGTCTCAAAAAATTAAAAAAAAATAGAAATTATACTATGCATCTTCTCAGACCATGGTGGAATAAATGTATAAATCAATTAGAACAGAAACACTCAACTCTATACAAAGTCATGGAAATTAACCTGCTGAACAAGTATTGGGTCAAGGAGGAAATTAAGATGGAAATCAAAAGATTCTTTGAGCTAAATGACAAAGAGGACACAAGTTACCAAAATCTGTGGGATTCTGCAAAAGCAGCTCTAAGAGGAAACATCACAGCCTTAAAATGGCTATGTCCAAAAGACAGAAAGATCACAAATCAGCAATCTAATGAATCATTTCAAAGAATTGGAAAAGGAAGAGCAAACCAATCCCAAACCCAGCAGAAGAAAAGAAATAACTACATTCAGAGCAGAACTAAATGAAATTGATTCTAAAAGAATTACACAGAAGATTAATAAAACAAAAAGTTTGTTCTTTGAAAAGATAAACAAAATCAACAGGCCTCTCGCTAGACTAACCAGAGACAGAAAAGAAAGGACCCTAATAAGCTCAATCAGAAATGAAAAAGGAAATATTACAACCGATACCACAGAAATATAAAATATCATCTCTGAATACTATAAAAATCTCTACTTGCATAAACTTGAAAATGTTGAAGAATTGGATGAATTCCTGGAAACACACAACCTCCCTAGGCTCAGTCAGGAAGAAACAGAACTCTTGAACAGACCAATATTGAATAATGAAATTGAAGCAGCAATAAAAATCTTCCAACAAAAAAAGTCCCAGACCAGATGGTTTCGCAGCCAAATTTTACCAGACCTACAAAGAATAACTGGTACCTACACAGCAGAAATTATTTCATAACATTGAGAAGGAAGGAATCCTCCCCAACTCGTTCTATGAAGCCAGTATCACCTTGATACCAAAGTGAGAAAAGGACACAACAAAAAAAGAAAACTACAGACCAATATCCCATATTAATACAGATGCAAACACTTTCAATAAAATTCTAGCAAACCGAATTCAGCTGCACATCAAAAAAATAATCCACCATGACCAGGTGGGCTTCATCCTAGAGATGCAAGGATGGTTTAACATACACAAACCCACAGCCAAACATCATACTCAACAGGGAAAAATTGAGAGCATTCCCACTTAGAACTGGAACCAGACAAGGTTGCCCACTGTCATCACTTCTATTTAACATAGTTCTGCAAGTCATAGCCAGGGCAATCAGACAAGAGAAGGAAATCAACGGTATCTAAATGGGGAAAGAAGAGGTCAAACTATCTTTGCTGATGATATGAACTTGTATCTAGAAAACCCCAAAGATTCTATTCTGCCAAGAGACTCCTGGAATTGATAAATTCAGCAAAGTTTGAAGTTACAAAACCAATGTACACAAATCAGTAGCACTCCTCTATGCCAACAACAGTCAAGTTGAGAATCAAATCAAAGACCCAATACCTTTCACAATAGCGACAAAGAAAAATCAAATACCTGGCACTATATTTAACTAAGGAGGTGAAAGACCTCTGCAGAGAGAACTATAAAACACTGAGGAAGGAAATCGCAGGGGATGTAAACAAATGGAAAAACATTATGCTCATGGATCAGTAGAATCAACATTGTTAAAATGTCTATACTACCCAAAGTAATTTACAGATTCAATGCAATCCCCATTAAAATATCAATGTCATTTTTACAGATCTAGAAAAAAATAATTCTATGCTTCATATGGAACCAGAAAAAAGACTGAATAACCAATGCAACCTTAAGCAAAACGAACAAATCAGGAGGCACTGGCCAGGCACGGTGGCTCATGCCTGTAATCCTAGCACTCAGGGAGGCCGAGGCAGAAGGATCACTTGAGGCCAGGATTTCGAGGAGGCATCACTTTATCAGACTTCAAGCTATACTCAAGGCTATAGTAGCCAAAACAGCGTGGTACTGGCACAAGAACAGACATTAGAGCAATGGAACACAACAGAGAACCCAGATATAAAACCATCCTCATATTGCCATCTGATCTTTGATGAAGCAGACAAAAACATACACTGGGGAAAAGAATCCCTATTCAATAAATGGTGCTGGGAAAGTTGGACAGCCACATGTAGAAGACTGAACAGGATCTGCACCTCTCACCACTCACAAATACCAACTCACGATGAGTAACAGACTTAAATCTAAGGCATGAAACTAAGAATTCTAGAAGAAAATGTTGGAAAAACTCTTATAGATATCGGTGTAGGCAAAGAATTTACGAAGATGACCCCAAAAGCAACCACAGCAACAACAAAAATAAATAAATGGGACTCGATCAAATTAAAAAGCTTCTGCACAGCCAAGGAAACAATCAAGAAGGAGAAAATATTTGCATGCTATACATCTGATAAAGGGCTGATAACCAGAATCTACAAAGAACTCAAGCAAATCAGCAGGAAAAAAAATCAAACCACCCCATTAAAAAGTAGACAAAAGACATGAACAAAACCTTTTCAAAAGAAGATCAACTAATGGCCAACAAACATATGGAAAAATTCTCAGAGTCTCTAATCATCATGAAAATGCAAATAAAAACCACAATGAGATATCACCTAACTCCAGTGAGAATGGCTTTTATCAAAAAATCCCCAAACAGGCCAGGCATGGTGGCTCACGCCCGTAATCCTAGCACTCTGGGAGGCCAAGGCGGGAGGATCGCTTGAGCTCAGGAGTTCCAAGACCAGTCTCAGCAAAAGCGAGACCCCATCTGTACTAAAAATGGAAAGAAATCAGTTGGACAACTAAAAATATATAAAAAAAAATTAGCCAGGCATGGTGGCACATGCCTGTAGTCCCAGCTACTCAGGAGGCTGAGGCAGTAGGATTGCTTAAGCCCAGGAATTTGAGGTTGCTGTGAGCTAGGCTGACGCCACGGCACTCTAGCCCGGGCAACAAAGTGAGATGAGACTCAGTCTCAAAAAAGAAAAAAAAGAAAAAAATCCCCAAACAAATGCTCGTGTGGATGTGGAAAGATAGGAACAGTTACACACTGTTGGTGGGACTGCAAACAAGTACAACCTCTATGGAAGGTAGTATGGAGATACTTCAAAGAACTAAAAGCAGAGCTACCATTTGATCCAGCAATCCCAATACTGGGTATTTAGCCAAAGGGAAAAAGGACATTTTATTAAAAAAAAAAAAACACCTGCAACTGAATATAGCAGCACAATTCACAATTGCAAAGATGTGGAAACAACCCAAGTGCCCATCAGTACATGAGTGGCTGAATAAAATGTGGCATATGTATACCATGAACTACTACTCAGCCATAAAAAAAATGGTTAACTAATACCTCTTGTATTTACCTGGATGGAACTAGAGACCATTCTTCTAAGTGAAGTATCACAAGAATGGAAAAACAACACCACATGTACTCACCATTAAATTGGAACTAATTGAACAACACTTATGTGCACATATGGAAATAAAACTCATCAGAAATCAAGCAGGTGTGAAGGAGAGAAGGGGATGAATAAATTCACATCTAACAGGTATAATGCACACTATTTGGGTGATAGGCACACTTATAACTTTGACTCAAACTGTACACAAGCAATTTATGTAACCAAACATTAGTACCCCCATAATACTCTGAAATTAAAAAAAAAAAAGCCCTCTCCCTAGGCCAGTTTAGGCCTCCTTCTGCCTCTTGTGTTGTGCAGACAGATGTTTTTAATAACCACAAGCAGGAAAGAAACACTTACTTGGCAAGCCCCGGCCCTTGAAAGTCTTGGCAACCACAGCAGTCGGCTTGCTCTTCACTTGAGTTGCCTGCCAGAACACCTGGCACAGTGCCTCCACATCACGGCCATCCACCACGTAAGTATTCCACCTGTCAATGGAGGAAGAGGCCAGGTTACAAGAGACAAAGGGTGGTGGGACAGAAAGAAGGTAAAGCAAGAGAGGATATGATTACCCGAAGGCTTCACAGCGCTTCTGATAGATATCTACGCAGTGCTCAGTGGGCAGGGCGCCACTGTGTCCCAGGCGGTTCACATCAAAGATTGCCACGAGATTGTCCAGACCATAGTAGGAAGCGAAGGCCAATGCTTCCCAGACGGAGCCTTCTGAGGACTCGCCATCTCCCATGAGGCAGAATACCCGGTAGCTAGAGCAAGACAAGCGAGGTTTAGGACCTTCTCTTGGGTTGAGGGCTGATCTGGGCCACTCAGCAAATGCACTTCAGGAAGAGAAACAAAGGAATAGCCTGGAGAAGCTGCTTTAGATCATCAGGTCCCTAAGACTATTTTCCTCATCAGCTCTGCCCAAACTCAGCAGCTGAGGAAATGAAGCTTTAAAAGCTTGGGCCTCACAAGATGGGCTTCACTTTCAGCTAGTTCTCCCTTTCTAGCTGTGAGCCTATTTTTAGGTTCTCCTGCCACTTCTGCTGATCAACAAGCATGATGACAAGAGGGGATTGGGAAAAAAGCAGTCCCCTTAAATCCCCAAATCATTTACACATATGTTTTCTTATATTCTATTTCAAGTTCCATTTTAAAGCACTTCCATCTTTTATTTCTGATCTTATAGTTTATTCACAATAATTAAAACAATCAAAAAATTCTACACCTCAGGAGCACGTAACGTTCTGTTACAAACATTAAACTCCACACAGAAACAACATGAATGTTTATCTCCCAGACCCCACTCAAGTGTTGGAATGTTTTAAAAAGTTATTAACCCTAGGATAAGAACTAAGAGAGACAATAATGGATGAATTTCAACAGACTTGTGGGAAACGGAGCAGAGGGCTTGCCATGGGATGGAATGGGGACTGGCCCTATAGGGTTCTTCTCTACCCCATGGAGCTAGGTACCTGTCCCGAGATCTCCAGAGGGGGCTCAGGGCAGGGCAGTTAAGTGGTTTCTGGGTAAGCACCTTACCTGGCCTTGTCGAAGTACTTGCCAGTATATGCCATCCCGCATGCGGCCCCCAGTCCCTGCCCGAGCCATCCTGTTGCCACATCAACAAATGACAGTCTCTGTGAGAGAGAAGGGACCTAATGAACCTAGGCACAGTTGCAGGACAGTTATCAGGTCAACTTCCAGCTCTGAGTGCAGGCTGCTCCTGTTGGCCATTAAGCAGTATACCATCAGAACAGCCACCCCCCCCCCACTCTGCTGGGTGAATTCCTCTTCACCACACCCACATGCACCCTAAGTTTCAGATCAATGTTACGGGTGGACCACAGGTCAAGAACAGAGCCCGGCCTGGGCTAGAAACTGGGGTTAACAAAGAAAATGAAGACATCCATTGTCCATGCCCAGGGAGCTATAGGTAATCCACACCATGTGGTGAGCGTGACTGGAGTTTTGGGAACACAGAGGAGGGACCCTAAGTGTAAAGCAGGAAACATAAGGCATGATTCTTACCATTTTCACAAGGCCTTTTTCCAGCCACGAACAAATCATACATTGAATCTTTCAGGGAATACGGGTTCTTAGAATGACGTTCCACTACCATTCTGCCCTCCCCTGCAACATCCTGTTTGTATGCACAGGGTTATCATCGTCACAAGAAGAGAATGAGGCCCCTCTGAGGGCCACAAGACCATGACAAAGGTCTGCTGCACTGATGGGAGAGGCTCCAGTTCTAAGCTTTCAGACACACTGTATTTATTCAACAGCTTCTGCTGCCACCATCTCGGCATGGCTTCTATCATTGCAGAGGCCTCCTTCCTGGCCTCCCTGCCTCACCCATAGCCATTTTCACCCAAGCCACCAGGGGGAGCTTGTTAAAACTTAAGCTGGCTCATGTCTCTGTTAACTATCCCAGGTCTTCCCATCTCCCATCAAGTAGAGCTCAACTTCTTGCACTGGCCTACCCACTCCAGCCTCCATCACCTCCAAATTCCCCTCCCACTGCTCCAGCATCCTGGCCTCCTCATTGCCCTTTGAACACAATGGGCACAGGCCTGCCTCAGGGCCTTAGCACTTGTGGCTTCTTCTACCTGAGTGCTTGTGCCTAGATATGTGCATAGCTCACTCTGATCACTTCCAAATCTCTGCTCAAATGTCAAAATCGAGATCTTTCTGAATCATTCTTTTACAACTAGTGCCTCCTACCCCCTCTACTTTACTTGATTCCAAATGCTCAGCTCCATCTCACATACTATCTATTCATTCATGAGTTTGTTTCTTGTCTGTCCCCATCCTCTGTTCAAACATCAGCTCCATTCAAGCAGAGATTGGTGTGTTCATCACTACCGCAGATGAATGAATGGTACTTGTTAGTCTCCGATCTCTCTCCCTTCTTGCTTCCTACCCTCGACTCTTTCCTGGGCTCTTTTGAACTTCCCTGGCATTCTCTATATGCTTTGTGTCCCAGGACTCCTTTTCAGTTTTGCATCTCTAGCCTAGCAGAACTGTCCCACTGAAGTCTCTTCTGGCCAAGTCTCTAGCTCCATTTTCCTCCCCATGGCATGGACCTCACTCCTGTAACAAGCTCTGGCTCCCAGTTGCCTTGCACACCCTTGGAGGCCCTACAATACCATGGACCAAGCTTGGGCTCAGCACTCAAACCAACTCTGCCTCCCCCACTGTGAAGCATGGGGAAAGCGAGCCCACCTTCTAAAGGCTTCACCTTATGGGTACAATGGAGACAAGAGCCTCCTTTAGGTGGCAGGAGGCTGTAACGGTAGACTAAGAATGGTGGGGATCAGCACGATGCCTGGCATGGTGGAAGTGCCCCCACATGGGTTCTCTTCTTTTCTGCAATAACCCACATGCTGTGGGAGAACACAGGGAGGCTGAGGGCTAGAATGTGTGTAAGGTACTATCCTCACCCAAAAAACAAAGACTTCTCTCCCAGATGGTACTTCTCATTTTTGTTCCAGCACAAAGTGTGCTTCAAGAACAAGTTCACAAAAAAATTAAATAAATAAATAAATTAGAAGAAACGATAAAAAAAAAAAAAAAAAAAAACAAGTTTACAAAAAGGCCTTTTGGTTGCTTTCCAGGCCTCCCTGGCTAGAGAAAACAAAAGAGCTGATAAAACAAAAACAAAAGCCTGAGGGGGGGAAGGAATCACAAGCCCCTCTACCTCGGAAAGTCTGCAGCACAACAGCTCTAAGGGAATCCAAGAACCTGACAGTCAGTGACAGTGCCAGGCTGTGGCAGTCAGCCTCTTAATGTGATACTCTGCATTAGACAACTGCACCTAAAGAGACGATTGCTTTGGGAGCACCCACCGCGAAGGCCCTAACTGTTCTGCAGTGTGTCCATTTATTCCATTGTGAGTCGAAACCATGATAGACTGCGCTTCCTGTGCGTTTTCTCTTTTCTTCCTGATTTTATCTGCTGGCTAAATCTGATGAACACACAAATTCTGGCAGCTGAACAGTACCCAGTGTGTTCTTTATCCCTCTAAGGCGAATGACTTTGATCGCAGTGGTTATATGATAATCTACACATCCTTCCTTTTTTAAAACCAGAAATCTGAGGCCGGGTGCGGTGGCTCACGCCTGTAATCCTAGCACTCTGGGAGGCCGAGGCAGGAGGATCGTTTGAGCTCAGGAGTTCG